TTGAATTTATATACGATCAGAGGCTCCCACATAAAATTAGAATTTGCGCAGCCATGTGGTGTCATTTAGCTGGTCTCAGTAAAAGAACAAAAAAACCCAACAACCAGGCAAATACTTTTAATAAAATCTGAATATTGCAGAAGAGCTTTTCACAGAATCACAGAATGCTGTGGGGTTGGCAGGGACCTCTGGAGATCATCCAGTCCAACCCCCTGCCAGAGCAGGGTCACCCAGAGCAGGTCCCACAGGAATGTGTCCAGGGGGGTTTGAATGTCTCCAGAGAAGGAGACTCCACCACCTCTCTGGGCAGCCTCTGCCAGGGCTCTGCCACCCTCCCAGGGATGTGGTTCCTCCTCGTGTTTAGCTGGAACTTCTTCTGTTCCAGTTTGTGCCCATTGCCTCTTATCCTATCCCTGGGCACCACTGAAAAAAGCCTGGCCCCATCCCCCTGACACCCACCCTTGAAGTATTTCCAGGCGTTGATCAGTTCCCCCCTTGGTCTTCTCCAGACTAACCAGACCCCAGTCCCTCAGCCTTTCCTCATCAGAGACATGTTCCAAGCCCCTCATCATCTCTGTAGCCCTCTGCTGTACCATCTCCAGCAGTTCCCTGTCCTTCTGGAACTGGGGAGCCCAGAACTGGAGGAAGTCATTGCTGAGCTGCTCTCCATCATCTTTGTAAGGTCCTGGAGAACAGGCGAGGTGCCCGAGGACTGGAGGAAAGCTTTTTGATAAGAGATGCTCTCAGCTCTACCAGGATTAAGGGGGGAAAAAATATTAATAATAAAAATAGCCATCACAAACCTTGACCAGAATTCATCGTCACAGTTAAATTAACCTGAAGCCTTTCACAGCAGCACCATGTGCCCACCTTCATCTCGCTCCCATCCAGAAGTGCAAAATTCTGTCCCTGCTTTTTGGAATTTTTATATTCTACATCCTTTTCTCTGGAGACCCAAAGATCAAGATTCCAAGGGAGAGTTCCCACACTGAAGCACACAAGGATGTAGTGCACAAGCAGTGGTGCAGCCCCAGCTCACCGAGCCCTGCAGGACTTGCCTCCCTCCTCAGTGCCCCAACCATCATTTCCACCCAAACCTGTCTCAAGAGGAAGGTGGGTCCAGGCAGAGTTATTGCCACCAAGGAACTGCTTCACCCTCCAGCTTTTAACAGAACAAACCCTGTGGAAACACGGGGACCCCTCAGTGTGTAACTGGGACACAGTCACACCGTCCAGAAACAACGCCTGAATTATCATAGAACCACGGAAACACCAGATCTCAAAGAAACCAGCCCAAATTGGGTGGATGAAGCTGTGGGTGGTACCAGCCGGTGGTGGTCCCTGGGTGCAGAGCCCAGCACAGCCCAGCCCAGGGAGCCCAGTGTGGAGAGCAGTCTGGTCACATCAGTAGATCCCATTGCAAACATCAGAGCAAAAAAATGGAAAAAAAATGAAAAAAAATATAATTAAACCCACCCAAGAGAAACCAGAGCAATAGGTCCTGCCTCACTGCAGGCAAAAGTGCTTTGGAGGGGAGGAAGATTCTGAATACTTTTTGCAGTTCTTGTGGACAGTATATGTTAATTCATGGTGTTACGAAACCTCCACTATCAGACTGAGATATTCTATTTGTCATTATTTTCACACTCCTTTAATAAGATGAAAGCAGTTAAAATTACCAAAAAAAAAAAAAAAAAATCCTGTTAAACAGATTAACCTCCGACCAGCTCCAGCTCTCAGCGCTGCCAAATAGCCTTCTAATGCCACTTCCAGGAAAAGAAAAACCGTCCCCTAATCTCATTTTGCTGGGTGTGTTCCAGCCCAGCCAGTGTCCCCAGCTCTGTCCCTGGGACGTGGCTCGTCCTGGAGAGCGGTGGGAGCCGGAACCTCACGATGGTTCACAGAATCACAGAATCTTCTAGGTTGGAAGGGACCTTAAAGATCATCTTGTCCAACTGTCAACCTCACTGACAAAAATAGACACCCACACAACAAACAAGGAGCATCATCACTAAACCAGACCTCCCAGCACTTCATCAACCCGTCTTTTGACCACCACCAGGGATGGGGCCTCAACCCCCTCCCTGGGCAGCCCATTCCAATGCCTGAGAACCCTTTCAGTGAAAAAATTGTTCCTAATATCCAGCCTGAACCTCCCCTGGCGCAACTTGAGGCCATTTCCTCTTGTCCTGTCACCTGTGACTTGAGAGAAGAGACCGACCCCCACCTCTCTACACCCTCCTTTCAGGGAGTTGTAGAGAGCAATAAGGTCTCCCCTCAGCCTCCTCTTCTCCAGGCTGAATAACCCCAGCTCCCTCAGCCTCTCCTCATAAGACTTATTCTCCAGACCCCTCACCAGCTTTGTCGCCCTGCTCTTGACCCGCTCCAGCACCTCCGTTTCTTAAACCATCTCCCCGTTACTGTGTGACTTCTCCCAATTTCTTCTCTCCTCTTGTCTCCAAACTGCTCCAAGGGGATTCTCAGCATCACTGCTACGTTCATCTAAGTTAATATTAACAGGAAGAGTAAAGAATTTGCTAAAATAATACATTAAGTTGCAACAGAAAGCTCAACCCAACTGCTTCAGCCCCACACCAGCTCATGCAGCCCAAGGCCACCCTCCACTGCTCTGGAAGGTATTTAAAGCCCAGAGCAATGAAACAAAACGGATCAAATGTTAAGTCAAGTGTTAAATGGCAACGTCTGATCACGATTTGTAATTAAACCAAAAGTTCTAGAAAAACCAAAAGAGTAATCAGCAGAAATAGGCTCATAGCAGCAAACGGACACAGCGAAGCCCCTTATTTTCACAATTAGGAACAGGGACTCAAAGAGACTGCCTTAAGAGAAAGATTTTCAATTAAGCCTTCTCAAGCACATTAAATAACACCTCTCATTTCCATAAATACATTTAAGGTCTAATCACAGTTCACACCCAAACCCCAAGAGCTAATTAGCCAATTTGGAAGCGGGAGGCAGGGAAGTCCTCAGGTGGCAGCAGCACCAGGCTCCAGCACCAGCTGCTCCCCAGGGGCCAAGGGGACCCTCCACACACGCCCCCAGACCTCCACGCGGTCCTAACAGTCAGGTGAATAACAACGAGGGAATCTGAAAAATAAGCTGAGCAAAATGCTCCACAGCGCTGACTTCCCTCCCCGTTCCATTGTTTGATGCAAGAAGTCAGAAGAAAACTCATCCCAAACCCCAGCCCCTCTCCTTACAGCGAGGCACCATCTGGCACATCGCACCAGTGAGGAACACCCAAACAACTTACAGCCATAGGATAAAGGAGAAAATACAAAAGTTACCAAAAATTAAAAAAAAAAAAAAGAGAATGCTGCTTCTGCTAAAAAAAAAAAATGATAAAAAAATAAAGCCTGCAGGAAAACCCCTCAGTACAGTATGGAAACACGTCCGGCAAAGCACGGGCAGAAGGTCTGGAGGTTCAACCACCATCTCAGAGGTTGGTGGGGCTGACCCGGGAAGGGGGGCTCCCGAGGCCGGAGAGCTGGCTCCCCCAGCTGTGATTTGAACCATCTGGGCAGCCGTGTTCCCACACAACCCACCGCAGCCCCCTGCTCCGCTCCAGCAAGAACTCTGGATGCCAAGGTCGTAGAGCACCCTCTGTAGCTGCCAAGCACCCCCAGACATCAGGTGAGGAAAAGAAAAAAGCAGGGTGAAGGAGGAAAGGCCAAATGATCAAAACAAAGCCCCTCGTTTGTTACGTTCTAGTTGCTGTCAAGTAGATGGGTTATTTTTATTCCGAATAGTCCAGAAAGTTGAGTTTCTGTTTGTTTTATTTACAGGCTCCCGCTGCTGTCACGCATCAAAACAAGCTGGCAACGATCCCTAAGAAGTACCCATTAGCAATGCAGCCACGACTGAGAGCTGTGCTCCGTTAGGGATGTAAAATTCTTCTGCCATCTCAGAATAAAAGGAGTCTTCAAACGCCCACAAAAGAGTTCTCGCTGTAACACATCTCCACCACAAGCTGCACACACATCCCTGTTCCAAAAGGTTAAAGGGTTCAAGCATCAGCAGCTTTTCCCCGTGCCTGCTCACCTAGAAGATTTTTTTTAAGCAGAATAATAAGTGCCAGCTCCTGATATCCTTAAGGTCAAAAAGGAAATAACCAATGAATGTAAGTGGTTATACCTCAAGCATCGCGTAACCTGTACTTTTCAAAATAATAAGGCGTGAGACAGCAGGCTAACAATTCATCAAGGGCTACAGGAGACTGACTCAAGAGATCTGCGGCAGCACATGAGGATGAGAAGAGGATGTTCAGGAAATGTCAAACCGTAGCACTGAGTGTGAACTGTGAATTAAATACACGGTTTTGTGAGGAGCTACAACTTGCACGCACAACTTGACAAACAGAGAAAGCAATTAATGGCTCAACCGCGAGCCGAACACATGGTTTCATGAGCTCCAGAGACAAAAAAGGCAGCAACAAACGGGACAATGATTTGAGACGTAAGTTTGGACTTCCTGTGCCAAATTGGATGTTCCCCACAAGCCTCTTCCATCAAGTCTTCTGTTTATGACTCACTGCACGGTGGCAACAAAAGAAAACTGCCGAAGAAATCCTTTGCTGGATGAGGGTGTAGAATTAAGGAAGCCTGAAAGTCTCAGGCAGGAGAGAGAACCAGGGTCAGGGATGCTCCCCGGGAACTGGTGGTGGGATGTGCCCACTGGAGTCTCAGGGCTGCTGGTGGCAGGAGGCCAGACTGATGGGCTAATATTTCTGAGTCATTGAGGCCGCAAAGTTTTCCACTGAAATTAGGAATGGGGACAGAGAAGCACAATTTTTTCCACTGAAATCAGGGATGGGGACAGAGAAGCAAGAGGTGACGAAACGGGCTGCTCCTGAGCACCGCGGTGCCGCTACCCCCTAAGGCAGCAGGAATCCACCTCTGACTAATGACAGGCCATACCCCTCGAAAAAAACAAGCAGCATTTCTTTCCCGTGGCGCAGTAAGACGTGAACACTTTCTTACCCACGGCAGAGAGGGCATGCTTGAGCTCCAGAGTGAAAGCCGTGAGCGGCACCTCTTCGGAGGCCGGCATGATGGCCACCGTGGAGAGATTGCTGGCAGGATTCCCCGCATCCCACTTGCTGCTGGAGCTGTGCAATCCCAGGGGGTGACCTGCAGGGAAAGAAAAACCACCTTGCCATCAGCCAAAGCAGAAAGTGAGGCATCACGCCATCGTTTCCAACTGCCAGGCAGCCAGGAAAGAGGCACTGAATTCCTCATCCCACGGTGAGCAACTAAGGGAACTGGGCATGTTGAGTTTGGAGAAGAGGAGGCTGAGGGGAGACCTCCTTGGCCTCTACAGCTCCCTGAAAGGAGGGTGTAGAGAGGTGGGGATTGGCCTCTTCTCCCAAGGGAATAATGACAGGAGCAGAGGAAATGGTCTGAAGTTGGTGCAGGGGAGGTTTAAAGTAGATTTTGGGAAGAATGACTTTCCTGAGAGGGTGGTCAGGCCCTGGAACAGCCTGCCCAGGGAGGTGGTGGAGTCATCATCCCTGGAGGGATTTAAGAAACGTGTAGACGTGGCTCTTCAGGGCATGCTCTAGATTGTGGGGGTCTTTTGTGTGTGTGTGTGTGTGGTTGGACTCAGTGATCTCAGAGGTCCTTTCCAACCACAATGATTCTGTGATTCTGTAAATCCACATCACACAAAAAGAAAAAGTTCCCACATATTTCACCCGTAAGAGGATGAAGATGAGTCTCCATCACGTCTGGCTGCTGACACAGCACACATGGGTAAAAAAGTTGGGCCATGGTAAAATATCTGGGTGCCAGGAACAGGTTAAATACAACGTGCATTTACCTGACCTGCTGAGAAAAAGATAAGGCAGCACTTGGAATCACTTTGAACGGCCACAGCTTTGGAAAAGGCATTGATTTTGCCCAGGAGAGGAATTAGCTTAACTACCCAAACCCCAAAACCTGTTGCCAGTATCAAAACACTCCAAAAATTAACATTCAGTTTTTATGGTATTCCTGACCAAGGAGATAAAAACCCATTTTCAACAAAGTTCCCATAGGGAATGCGTGTCTCCACCTATTTTCCCTTCTCTCTGAGATGGGAAAATGTGGAGCTTAACAGGGATGTGCTCAGGAGTATTTACATAAAACATGGAACCGCTGCAAAGTGCCTGTGGAAGCATCTCCAGCACAACATGGGAACCTGAGAATGGACAGGGATGAGCAGAGGAAAGCGTTTTTTGACGGAAGCATGCGATGCACATGACAAAGATTAAGGTCCTTCTTGATGGCTTAGGACAGGAAAAGATCAGTCATAGGGGTGTTCTACAAACTCTTCTTTTTATTTTGATACTATTTCCTTCCTCTTTAGCTGAGCTTTCTCAGACAACCTTTCTTTGCTGCTAATGCCTATGAACTCTGCTCCAAGTACACAATAAACTCATTGTCACCTGAGTTAGGATTTAGTTTCCTGCTTTTCACCCAGCAAAGGCCTAGGGTGCACCATTAAGATGAATTCTTGAGATGAACATATGGAAATACTTGATTTACCATATGAAACCTCGCTCAAAGTCTATATGCAAGAGCTGGACACAAAGAAATATCAGATAAACTTTTTTGCGAACATATTCAGCGATTGAGTTATTCATTTCAAGTGTTCTAAAACAGCTCTGCACGGACCATTAAAGAGTTTTTCCACTCTTTTTGGCCATCTTCAAGAAGATATTGTAGGTTCAAACACATTACGCATCACTGCTCAGCTCCTTCATCTCCGCCAGCCCTTCCCTCCTCAGAACTTCAATGGCGAGTCTCTGATTGAACTCCTGTTACTGCCACTAATTGTCCTCCCGTTTTCTCCAGATGACATCTTGCCCTCTTTCCCAACCCCTGCGGGCTCTGCCCGAGGCCACAAAGGCATCTCAGCACCCACAAAAGTTTCACTACAATTATCACCGGAGATTCACACGCAGCTGATGGTGGACAGAAAGCTGAGCACGTAAAGAGTGGACTTGGAGATTCACTCCCCAAAACTGCCCCAAAACCTGAGAATTGATTACCTCATTTTCAGTCTCCTTGGAATATTTAAAAACAGCAAAAGAAGTAATTAAAAAAACCAAACAACCAACCACCCACAACAGCAAAGAACCTCCCGACACCCTCAGGAGTTAACGGGCATCTGTTTTCTTTTAAAAGCTGCTCAAGAAATTTTGGAAATTTTCCCTCCTACTCGTTTCCATTCCACCAGCAAACACACTTTGTTTTGCCTCTGCCACACACAGAGAGCTTGAGAACCGACCCGCAGCAGCCCATTTCCTCCCAGACAACTCATTAGGATAATGCAAATACAGACACATCGAGTCGGTCTGGCTGCAGACGCCGCTCAGCACGACTATCTGATTCAAGCTGCTATTTCCCATCCTCCCTTTGAGCTCCTGCAAGAGATTTCAAGGAGATTTCACTGCTCATACACAGCACCCCTTCTCTATCTCACTGGCGGATCATCCCATTCCCACACTTCACCACGCTCCACAAAAAAAAAAAAAAGTACATACACACATATATTTATAATAAAATCAGCATTCACTTGTGAAAACAGCTAAAATATTTAGCGACAAACTCTCTTTTCAAGTATGCATTTTCTGTTTCCAGATTTAACGATGCAAATCTGGCTCCGAGGAAGCACCAGCATCAATGGGAAGAGTCCAGGAAGGAGCCTTACCTCCCTGCTGAAGGCTGCCAAGAATCTTCTCGCCCAGCAAGTGAATAAGTCTAGTCACAACCTAGCAATGGGAGAGAGGGGAAAAGAAAAGAAAAAACAAACATTCAGGCAGAGGTACTAAATATAATGCATTTAAACAGATACTTTCCAACTTTTCTAAGATATTATCTCAAGTTGAACCATGCAAGGACAAGGGTTTATAACCACGGCTTCTTTCCTGGCTGTAACCTGTGGTGACTGATCATTTGTCTTGATTTCTTTTACCTTATTTTACTCTAATCTGGAAAAAAACAAGAAAACAAAACAAAACCAAAAAAGGCAGTATTTAACTTGCTTTGGGAGCAAAAGAAAAAAAATCCAATTATTTCAGGAAACAAGTCAAATTATGTTTTCAGTTCTCTTTTCTCTCCACAGGGCACTTGTACCTCTGAGTCCCTGTCCTGACCCGGTGGCTCTCGCTCACCTCCACCCTCTGAAGGTGCTCCAGGCTCAATAAGGTTCCATTTGGGCTCAAACAGATCCCCCCCTCACCCAGTTTTGCTTCCTCCTGACCCCCAATGAATTAATCAATGTTTACGGTAACCAATAGAAAGCATCTTGAATGAAAGAGATAAAGACACACTCTGAACCCCTGCAGAATCACAACAAACTATCGAAGAAAATGCTTTCCCCCTCAAACCACGTTTGTGTGGCACCTTTGAAGGGACAGATTTTTCTTCCCAGCTTTTTTTCCCCCAGGACTTATATCAATATAAACCAATATTCAAATAGCCAAGCATGGCTGAGAGCTGACAAGCTTCTCTCCAACTTCAATTAACAATCAATAATTCCCCACAAGTGGAGCGATTCCCCACAGAAAACTAGTAATCATAATACCAAGGAGTGACAGGCTTACAAAAATGCATGATTTATTCTAAAAAGCTATGCACAAATGTTTTACCCAATAGAGGTATTTAAATGCATTAAGAATTAATAGAGCAATCATTAGATACTCTCTCCCAAACAAATAATTCAAGGGCAAAATATCTCTAATCTGCAGGAGGACATAAAAATAAAAAACCAAACAACCCCAAAACCACAAGGAGAAAAGTTCTCCAAACTCTTAACAAGTTAAACAACAGCAGCAAATGGCTACGTTGGGTTTTGGAGAAAGAAACACACGCTGTTCCCATAAGAACAAGCACTTCAGGATCCATCTTTTAAATAAAAGACTGAGTTAAGCATCAAGGCAGGTCAGTGTGCCCAGCAGAATCACTTCTATATCCTGCTTTAAAAAAACATAAAATAAAATAAATTGCCCTAGACTGAAACTCCACAGCTTTACTCGGTGTCAGTAGCTCTCCAGGGCCTGGAGGAGGGAAGGAGCACACAGGAGGCTCCAACATGGCGTGACCTCCAGTGGAGTGAGGAGGAAGAGCTACACAAAGTTATTTGAGCAATTTCTGTCCCAAGTTCTTAAAGATGCCCCATCAACGGCCTCCTCAGTGAGCCCCGATTGACTTCTCCAACGTTCCTCTTATTTGCACCAATAGTGGACAAAACCCTCTGTACCCACTTCACCGACACGGCACGACCGCGGAGCTAACGAGTGATGGTGGAACAAGGGCAGCTCCCGATGGCAGGGGAGCTCTCAGCCACCCTCCTCAGCCAGGAACCCCAACCAGGAGATAACACACTTCCCCTTGTCCAAAGCCCAACAAGAGCTAATGATCACCCAGCCAACTCATCACCACTTTAATAACACCAAGATTCCTGGGATTCAATTAATCATAGAATGGTTTGGGTTGGAAGGGACCTTAAAGATCATCAAGTTCCAACCCCCCTGCCCTGGGCAGGGACACCTCCCACCAGACCAGGTTGCTCCAAGCCCCCTCCAACCTGGCCTTGAACCCCACCAGGGATGGGGCAGCCACAGCTTCTCTGGGCAACCTGGGCCAGACTCTCACCACCCTCAGTGGAAAATGGCTCTGGGTGTAGTACAGAAAATTACCCGAACTACAGGGAGCAGGGAGGGAAAGAGGGAATTCTTAATAAAACTTAGGAGGCTGCTTGCCCTTCCCAAGGGAGACAACCTGCCTCTCGAGAGCATTCGTGTCCCCAGCTCCCATCGTTCACCCAACAACCCGCACCTGCACACCAGGGCTTTCCTTAAGCAGTTTTGGAAGGTGATATGAACATTTTACATTCCTGAGCCACTTTAAATATCAGAATTTTAATTACTTACTAAAACCATCTCCTGTATTTATAACTTTTTCTGCTTTACAGGCAGCTCAGGGGACCTCCAGCTTAGTTAAAGAAAATGTCCAAGGTTAATGATGGAACTAAGAATAGAACCTATTGCTCTCATTTTCCAGTTGGCTGCTCCTGTTACCAGGAAATATTATTTGCCTTGTTTGCTGGAGCAAACCTTACAGCCTCGGTACATATAGATATGGAAAAATTATTTCCCCGGTGACTTTGTAAGACAAGCAAATTGCTAACCATAACGGGATGAGTCACTCTGTCGCAGTCATGGCAACGTCGAAGGAACATCAATTTGGGATCAGAGCTAAGAACTGGCCTGAAATTTCCTTGGAGTTTGATGTTATGTACCCAAAATCTTCTTTTTTGCAAAAAGGCAATGAGTTCCTCTGAAAGGGACCCGTCCATCCCTCTGAGGGAGAAGCCAATATAAATCATATTTCTTCATCGACAACAGACCCAAGCGTCAACCACTGACCTGCCCCCACGGCTGGGTGGAGCAGCTCTCACCAAATCCAATCCAACCCGGAGAATTAAAAAAGAATGACCCTTTGGGTTTCCAAACCCCTTTATTCCAACCTCTGTGGCAACAGGGCACAAGAAGAAGGAGCAGCGCGGCTCGACAGAGCCCAAGAGACGGTGAGAAGGAAGCCAGGGGACCAGGATGGGACCTGTGGGGTGGGATGGAGGGGCCTGTGAGGTGAGATGGAGGGGCCTGGGGAGGGGAGGAAGCAGAAATGAGCCCTGGGGCTGGGAGGGCTCAGACAGGGATTGCAGGGAAAACTGAAGAGTTCATCCAAGCATTCCTGGAAGAGAGAGAGGCAGGAGAAAGGCAGAGACCAGGGCACTGGCAGGCAGGTGCCTCAGCACAGACGGCTGGGCAGGGATTCAGCAGGTGCTTATTCCCACCCTATTTAGCTGGATTTTGTAGGAAAAGCCCTAGAATTGGCAGTGAGGGTTTGAGCAGAAGGGGAAGGCAGGAGCTCTGGCAGCACTGATGGGAAAACTGGACTTATCTGGAAGACACACTGAGTTTCCAGCCCTCTGGAGGTGCCACCAGCCTCCACCACAGCTCCACCCCAGCACCTGATGGACAGGGCGCTGGTTTTCCAGAAGAAGGCAGGACTCCCACCCCTTCTCCCCAGCCCTTCCTGAGCGGGGTGCCAGCAGAGAGCAGCTTCCCAGACATCTGTACATGCAAAACTGTCTCGTTGCCGCGGTGTCACCGTCACCCGGGGCCCGCCAGCCTCCGCGGCGCAGTCGGCAGCGTCTGCTGTGCTCATCCCTCCGGCACATCCCGGATTTCACAGCCTTTTCCAGCAGCCACCAGCCCCCCCAACACCCCCCGCTCTCCCCACAACCCAGCCCGCCGGCACGGCATCGCACCCCTCCGATTTCAGGTTCGAAATAAAAACCTGCACTGCAAAAAGGCGGCAATTTGGAGTCCGGGCTTATCCCAGGGCCCTGGGAGGTTTCTCAATTAGCTGAGAATCATTAGTTGCCTGCGAAGGAAATACCACTTTTTGACCCCTTGTACCAGGGATGGAGCCAAACCTGCCTCAGTTTGTGAGGAAGTTGGATTTATCATCCCTCGGGATTAGAGACCGCGCTCGCAGTGAGCGGACCCGGCTCGGTTAATCACAGTTAATCACCTCAACGCCTAACGAGGAGCAGAGGCATCCATAAGGAGCTTCTGGCGCAGGTCGGGAGCGAAGGGAGCGGGACTGCTGGCACTGCCACAGCGCAGGGAAAACCTGTCCTTCCCACATGGAACGCACCGTCCTACCCAGCGCTGCCATCGTGGGCTGGGGAAGGGCTCAGGGAGGTCACCAGGCTTTGCTAGAAACCCATATATATATCTATGTGTATATATATATATATATATAAAAATATATATACATGCCTATCGGGGCTGGCAGTGCGAATCTGGGCTCTGGAGCTGGGCAACCTGCCTGGGTTGTGAAGACCAGGTCAACAGAAGAAGGTAAAGAAGGTCAACTCCCCAAAAAACTCCACCAAAACACCAAACAAACAAAAAAACCCAAACAAAGAAACAAACCAAACAAAAACATAAAAGCATCCAAAACGCCCAAAGCAAACAAATATACACCCTCCTGAGCTTATGCAGCAGATTTTTCAGGCCAGACAGAAGAAATCTAACCCTACGGGGTTAAAAAACTGAGCGTTTCTCCATCCCAAAAGCTACTTGGGATTCCAGGTGCATCAATCCCATCTCCAAAAGCCCAGAAACCTCCCCTGCTCAGCAGCTGTGAATTCATAAAACCTGTCCCAGAGCAGGACGTTCGGTGGAGACACACATTTTGGAAGGGAAATAAAACGTGGCTCCTCCTCCTTCCACCTCCTCACCCTCTTCGATCACCGCACTGGGACAGCTCTGTGAAGGGCAGAGCGGGACAAAGAGCATTTCTCTCCCTCAGACAGTGTCTTCTCGGCTGTTTCTCAATCAGCTCCAGCCGAGTCAGACCCAGTCCAGCCCCAGCAGCCTCCAGCCCCCCCACCAGTAGCCTCCAACCCCCTCCAGTTCCCCGTTCTGAGGGGGAAACTCCACTTCAGCATCTGCTACAGAGAAGCCTCTGGGAAACCATTAATTTTCCCTCTGCTTAACGAACGTTAAATTCCTCCACAGACCTGCAGGCCCTGCATTGCAGGGCAAGGACCAAACTTCACCTTCCCCAGGGGACTGTATTGCCTGCTTCAGGATGACTAATTTTGGTTTCAAAATGAACGTCCTTCAGCGACGGTGAGTAGGACTCAGGAGGTGATGGTCCCCCTGGACTGAGCACTGGTGAGGTCCCACCT